GTCTGTAACACGCTATACTTCCTGGAAGTATTCAATAACTAATAACGGTTGGTATAAAATTGACTCAGTTCCCTCACACATCAAGTATGATGAATGTGGTGTCTTGCTTGCATGCTTTTAGTCTTTTACCAGCACATAACTAAACACTCAAATTCTCTCCTGAACCTCATATTCATGTATCTACCATACTCTGGGTGCCTCTACCAGTATGTCTCCAAAATTTACCTCTATCACTACACTCCATCCTTCCTGTCTTATTTTTTTGTTTTTTATTAGTTTTTTTAGAGTTTTATATGCACTCTTGTCATACTCAACCCACTCTCTCAACTCTTCCCAAATCAATCCCCTCTTCCTTACTCACCCAACTTTGTGTCCTTTTGCAATTTAATCCTTCAAGATGAGTTTGTACTGCCCAAATACTCTTGGATCTGTGGTCTTTCACTGGAAAGTGGTCCACTTACCAGAGGCTACACTTAGAGAAGACTGACTCTCCTCACAGCATCTCAATCCCAATCTTCAGATGCAATGTTCACTCACACATTTAAGCCAGAAAACAAGGATTCGTTTTTGACCTTCTTTCTCACACCTCTGTGCTTACCTGCTCCATTCTTGAATGCTCCAGGCCTCACCCCGAAAGCTTTCTCTGCATTAGTCATCCTTGCCCAGTCCTTACAGTGACTGGCATTAGCTCATCTCAGCTGCATGACTGCAGCACAAACTTAGGGTTGCTTTTTGTTTTGTTTTCCTGCTCACATGGTTGCTCATACCTATCACCCTCTAAGTAATGCTTTGTCCTGTATTTCTAAGTGCTTCAGTGGTTCCTTCCCTACTACAGGACAAAGTCCTTCCCACCATGCCCCATATTCAGCTCCCCCTGTAAAGTAGCCTTCACACCTCATCATCCATTTAACTTCACAGTTACTACTCCAGCAAATTTTGGGTGCTTTGTAGCTGGCCTTGTTCCTCCTGCATGCTTCATAGCATTTTAAGTATCATGTTGAAATGATCTATTTATTCAACTTTACCATAAAATTATTTAAGGCTGGCAACCTTATTCTAATAGCTATGACATCTATCCAAGTGCATCAACATATTATGAGAAGTTAATAAATACAGAATGAAGATAAACTTTATCTAGGCATACAAGACAACTTCTATAGTGTCCTGCTAATGACCTTTGATTTATCTTATCAATCATGGGGTAATCTAAGCTATGCTCTAAGATGTTATTTTTGTGGCAATATGAAAGGAGAAAGAGATGCTCCCTTGATTCTGTTCTCCCTGTCATAGTTATGACCCCAAAGGACAACTGTGTACATAGTTGTCTTTTTGTGTTTAACTTGCCACTCTCCAAGTGGTCAATATCTTCAATACTCATGCACAAAAATACCCATGGCTGCTATGATCTTCAGAGAAGGCCTTTATGATGAAGAAGGAATTTAAGCAAATGGAGAGTGTATCTCAATAGGCACAGGAAAGGCTCTCATGACTTCTTGCAACATATTGTAAAGTTCATCAACATTAATACTATAGGTTGATTGAAGACTAGGAGGGAAAAAGAAAATGAGCATTAGGTAAAGCTAGTCAATGCTTTGTCCTGTACAGGATAGCAGAGCAAATGCTACTGGTGGAGTCTAGTCAAGTACAGTGGTGTTTGCTCTAAAATTCTTTTAACTTTTCTGTACCACAATAAATATCAAGAAAACCAAAAGTATTCCTGAAAAAAACTTTGAAGAGGAAGATTGGGGAAGGGCTTGTGTTTTTGTTGTTGTTGTTTTGTGTTTCCTTAATTACTGTAAAATGATAACTTCTGAATTTCACACCCCTAACCACATCCACTAAGAATGGCCATCAGTAGTCTCACTTTGCCCTGCTTCAGGTCCAAATGTTTCATGAAGCAAAACACTCTGTTTCCGATCAAGATGCAGCCTAGAGTTTATTGTATGCACAAATCAGGGCAGGGAGCCTGGCCCTGTTGAATCTTGTTATTGTTAAAGCAGGAAGTTGAATTTCCCCACCTGCAAATGAAACTGGAAACTTCATCTCCCCTCCCCCAAAAAGGACTACAGGAAAGGGTGGGGGGAGGCTTTGTTTGGGAGGCCTCTTTAGCAAGTATACAAAATGCCATTCTTTCATCACTACGGCTTAGCAAGGCTAGGAGCTCCCTCCAAAACTGCTGCAGAGTTTCAGGGAAGGCCTGAGGATTGCTCATTAAGAGTAAAATCACATCAGTTCTGAAAAGTAATGGTTCTGTTTTGTTTACTAATCTTCTTGATATTTAGGATTTTAAGAGTTTTCTTCCAAAAATACTTCCTAAATCAATGTAACTATTCTTCAGCATCTCAACCATGGGGACCTCTCATAACTTTGCAAAGAGAAGGCAGTTGTTTGCCTGGCCCAAGGTGTACACTGACTCTTTTATGCAAATATATCTTTCTACTCCTGTGGCCAAGTGCCTCGCTGTTATCGCCATATGTTTGTTCAAGTGGTGAGGAAATATTAAATATCACAAGTTCTCAGCAGAGACCGGACAGTAATTATCAACAGATGGCAGCAGTGGGGGGCTGAGAGAGCAGAAGAGTCCTCCCGCAGGGGGGCTGGAGCTAAGCCTCAGGCCATTCATTGGCCATCAACCTGGGCAGAGAAGATGACCTCTCTCTCTGCTTTTCACATTATCTGACCTTTCTATGGCATCAACCCTAAAGAACTAATTCCAATCTCCCACGGAAGTGATGGAAGATTTACCTGTGGACTAGGACCATTCAGTGGTCCTTGGGAGAAAGGAAGCATCACTAAGTTTTGAATGATTGAGGAGTGAATGAGACATAGCTTTACTGTATATGTATAGCTCTCCCATGGATGTCGTAAGTTCAGCAAATACGTACTGAAGACTCACTCTGTTCTGCACACAAAGATCATAGAAACAGTGATTTTAAAAAAAAAGATATAAACCTAGTTCTTGGGGAGTTGGCATCTAAACAGTTTGTTATCCGTAGCCATGGAAATGCATGCAATGGATACAGGGTCATAAAATTCTGTTATGATTCATTCTGTCTAAAACAGACGTTAAGGACATAAAGGACTTACATACCAAAAAGGTATCACAAAGGGAAAGGAACTCATGGGCCCCACACTCCTGACTGAGAAGCTGTGGCTAGCTGGAAGCTTCTGAGAAAGCAAGAATTGGTTTTCTTTAAAGGTATGGTCCTGTTAGGTTCACCACCTTCTAATGGATGGCCCCACACACAGGGGTGCATGGACTTGATGGGTTATTTTTAAAGATTAGAGAGGAAGTGAGGTGGATGTACCTGGGAGGAGTTAGGGGAAAGAATGGAGAAAGAATATGATCAAAATACATTGAATGGAGTTCTCAAGGAATTAATAAAAAAATACTGACTTAACTTTAAAGAGGTGGTATCTACTATGGGCTTATAAATAAGAATATGGGGTTGGGGATTTAGCTCAGTGGTAGAGCACTTGCCTAGCAAGCGCAAGGCCTTGGGTTTGGTCCTCAGCTCAAAAAAAAAAAGAATATGATTGTTCTCAAAATGCAACAGGTAATAGGCATTCTGTGCTGAGGGAGGCAGGCGGGATCTTACTCTATGAAGTTTCCAATGGACCTGGATAGGAGTATGAGACAGGAATGCTCCCAGGAAGCTAAATCCTGAACAAGGGCATCGAGGCCAGAGAGTGCTGGGTACAGCTGCCTATCTTTTGCCTGTGTCTTTCTTAAGCCAATATTGGTCCAGACAGCGACACTGGAAACTCAAGTTTGGAAAGCCAAATAGAGTCAAGTTGCTATATCAACCACTGTAAATGATGATGTTGAGGATATTATTTAGTTATAGATGGAATCTGTAGAAAACCCACTTAGCCCTGCTAAGACCTCCAGAACAGTCCCCACACCACTGAAATACTCAGTGTGAAATATTTAAAGAAGCAGAAAATAAGAATGACTTTGTTTCCACCACCCAAATCTGTTTCCTTTGATACTCTGAAGAAGTAAATTCTACAAACAGAATTAAAATCCCCTCTGTATGCCTTCCTGGTCCCATTACTCCTCTTCTTGCAATCTGCAAATTGCGCTTCTCTTTTGGTGATTAATATCAAATTTTTATAACTGTTTTACAAGCCTAAAATTTCCCACTGTCTTCTCCCAAACAAGTTGAGGAATTTACTATATTTCAACTCCTCATATACAGTTCAGTCTTTATTTTCTTTCTCTTGCTATCTGGACTTCACTTAGTGATTTTCTTGTCTATATTTTTCACCTTCATTCAACACATCAAGACAGAATATTAAAATAATTTCTGTTCTGTGTTCTTACAGTCATTTCTCCTTTGTGGATTTACTTCTCTTTTTAGTAGATAATTTATCAGTTCTGTCAGTAAGATTGCAAATGGCACATTATATAAAACACCTATTTTCAATAAATAGAGATATTTAAATGACAAAATTCTTTAATCTTGCTCTTCAGATTTTTTAAATTTTACCCTTCCTAGTGAGTGGCAATTGCCATTTGGGTATGAATTTATAACTCACTGTGATTTTCTCTTTCAAGTTGGTATTCCAATGGCTTCCACCATCTATTCTCATAAGGATAAATCACAGTCAGGTTATTTGTAAGTTCCTTTATCATTAGTCAGTCCCTGCTGTCTCTGTTTTATCACCAATTTTTAATTCCACATTCCTCCATTGTCTTGTGATTGTTTGGCTTTAGGTGTGTCTATCTGGTCCAGTTCCCCCATCTTACAACTCTTAACAATAATGACCATTCACCTTCCCAACTTTCTTCTCTAAGATTTTATGATTTTGTTTTATATTTTCTTCCATACTTAAGATAAGTTAGCTACTAACATCTTCTGTTTTTCTTGCCCAGCCTGAAATGCACCATTGAGTCCTTTATTTCTATAATTATGATTTTTAATTTTCAATTTAATTTATGATATTTTAAAGCATACACATGTCATAATTTGTTTGATTGTTTATCACACCTTACTTTTGCATCTCTTGATGCTTACTAATTGGAGGTATTCTGCAGCTCTATTATCATTTCATGCATCGTACACATCCAACCATGAGTCATATTTTCTTCCTTTAAGTGGCTCCTACATCTGGTTTTGTAACTTTTCTGTGGGGTTTGTTCGAATCAGAGAAAACATTGTAGTTTGACTGTGGATGGAAGTGATCGTGATCGAGTCCCCATCTTGATTTTTCTCTGGAGCCTTGCTTTCTCTGCCTCTTTGCCTCCTGGATCTCAGCTATCCTTAAAAAACACACGGGCACAATCATTGAGCTGGAGATTTTCTTGTCTTAGGTCTGGAAGTTGTGCATATCTTACAACCAAACAGGAGCTGTTTGACTCCCAGTCCCCAGCTGATGGACATCCCAGCCCCACCAAGAAGCTGGAGGCAGGGTCAATGGCACCTACCTCCAAGGACTGAATATGGGGACTCTTCTGTCTCATCAGAAACCCAGTGACCTGCTGGGTGATAAGCTCTCGCCTTCATGTGTCCTTTCGTTCTCTGAAACACAGAAATGCTGGTCCTGATATTTACCTCATGTGCATTCCCCTTGCATTCAATGTGTTTCACCTGTTATTTCTGTGGTTGGGAAGTAGCAGAACTGTACAGTCAACAAGCAGGCATCCTCCTGCCCCTGCATAATCAGTTACACCCCCAATCCCAACATAGCCTGTGCTCATTTTTTATTGAAATGTCTCTCCCAGCTTTGCCCATCCTTGATGCTCAAGACATAGCCTGTGTCTCTTCTTTCTCAAGAACATTTCTGTAACAGCCTCCACCATCCTCCATCTCCTTCCTGTGTCCTCCTTCCCTCACCTCAGCATGAGGCTTCTCAAAGCTTGGATTTACTTCGTCTCGTGTTTCTTCTTAGGCTTCATCTTCAGAGTGCTTGGTTGGCATTGGGGAGAGACCAATTAATGAATGCTTTATTTGCTCAGCTTTTAGGAAGCTCAAGTTTTCAGAGCCTTATTTCCACTCTCCTAAAACCTACTAGCAATGTTGAAAAAGAGTGAAGCGAAAACAGTTTCTCTCTTAAAGTCATCCCAGATTCCAAAGCCAATGTCCCGAAAGTATGCAGAGACTTTGCACTGTCTCCCAGGTCTATGAAACCCAACGCAGTTTCTTCTCCTCGCCATTTCGAAAGATAAATAGGATTTGTAGAGGAATTATGCAAACGTTCCCTGGAAAATTGAAAGACTTTTTTAAAACCCACAGGCAAACTTCAGGAAAGCCAAAATCAACTAGTTTCATTTTACATGCAGAACTTTCTACACCTCACTATAAAATAATGTAGATGATTAAATCTTACCAAAATGTAACATATATATCTCAAAGAAACATACCTCACCAACGAATATTAGATATGTACATGTGCATGCAAATGTAGAGTGTGCATTTCTGAAAAAAGAATAGCAACTTTGTGTAAACTGAAGAATAAATGCAGGAGTGAGAGATCAGAGCCAATATTTTTTTTCTTTAGTGACTAACACTTCTTTCCCAAAGGTAAAGATTACTTAGAGTTTATTCCAAACACATCTTGGTCCTCAGACAACTTGAATTCAAATTTACTTTGGAATGCCATTCCCATCATCATGGACAGGATCAGGCCTGGATTGAATTCATCCTCCCCTGGGAAGACATGGGCTTCTCCTTGTCCTTTGCCATGCCTCCTTCAGAGGGAGTTATCTGAAGTATTTCTGCTAATTTGTTTTCTCCAGCAAACTGTGGGCCATCCGAGGACCATGCATATTCAAAGGCCAAATGTTTTCATCTTTGAATCCCAGACCAGACCTGTGCCCTGTTAAGATAAAAAAATAAATTTTGAGTGAATGAATAAATTAAAGAGGTGAGCAAAAGCATTCTGAATGTATTTTCTGTTGCTGAAGGCAACAAATGGCTTCTACTTTATTCAGATAGTGCTCCGAAAACACAACTGGGCTGCTGTGCCCGCATCGTCAGCTTTCAGTATGAATAGCTTGGTCTTCCTGAAACTGCAATAGAGAAGCTCCTCCCTTTAAAAAATTACCCCTTTTATACCAGCAAATAAACACTCAAATGACATGTTTTTCTATTAAAAACTCATGGGCCTTAAATTTCTTTTTAATCACAGGCTTTAGTATTATTACACGTGTTCCATTAACAGGCATATCCAATGAATTCCCTTTCATAAACACATGTAAGTTCAGTGCAAACCAGCCAGGTGATTAATTTATAATTCTTGACACATTAGGGGGGTGGGCTGGAGGGAGAAGCAACACATAGGTCCTAGGATGGGGCCTTTCACGCCAATGCCATGGACACACACAGAGAAGGGCACACACACACACCACCCATGAACACCCACTGTGCTGAGCTGGCATTGGATCCCAATCTGACAAACCAATGCCTGAAGGCAAATAACAAAGACTAAACTGTTGCAGGTTCCTTTTCCCATAAAAATAATAATAATGAATAAAAGTAGCTGGAGCTTGGCCAGAGCATAATGCAACACAATTTCTAAAATCAGCATCCTCTTTCCTCCCACACACATTCTCCCCAACTGCTCCATCAGTTCTCTCTTGCCTTCCTAGGCAGGTTACTTACCTACCTCAAATAGGAAGCCATCCAACAGCTACTTCAATCAGCATTCAGCCTTCTCCTGAATTTCAGGAGCATGATGAATCTACACAAGAGACAACCTCAAGCTAAAATTGAGCTGCCACTAACACACTATCATTTTAGGAGGGTCATTTCCCTGTGGTACTTGAGTGAGCAAGATCATTAAGTAGGTTGGCTGAAATGGTTCCTGATTCTTCTTGTGTTTTAGGTAATGGTTTATACTCAGGTATAAGCCCTAAAGCCAGACCATGCCCAAGTCCAAGCCCTTCAAAAGCAAATTAGCTTACCTTTCTCTGCCTTGATTGATCTCTTTGCCAGGATTGAAGACCAAGGATGGTGGTGATGGTTGTGACCATGATGATGCTGAGAGTAGTGAGTGGTGATGATATTATAGGATAGCAATAAGTACTGCCTGGGATCATAGTGAAGGCTAAGCAGTGTTTTGAAGGGACTTAGATAAGAGTCTAACTATGTAAGCCCTGTATACATGTCACTTATTACCACAAAACAACAAATAAAGGCTTCTGAAGAATCTACTACTGACTACTATCCTATTTCTATGTTTCAAAATGAAAGAGCAATTTTAAAAAAGAAAACTCTACCCTTTCCTTCTGGTCACCCAAAGGGACATCTTTTACTACAACTCACTAAAACCCATGACTCCATACCCATGAGGTCTTGGGAGCATGGCTGGTGCTATGGAGGCTGAGGACATGAGGAGAAGAGGAGTCCAAGGTAAAGGATGAAAATGTGCTGGAAAACCAATGAGACTTATGATGCCTTTGCTACACAGGTCTTGGCAGAATCTGAGACATTTCATGTTCACCAAAAATTACTCATAAAAAGCCCAGTGCCTAAAGGAGTACGGAAAGTTCGGAGTTATGTAAGCCCAGGTCACCTTGGAGTCAAGTAGCAGCATCCTGGAATGAGGGAAGTTGATCCAAAACCTTCACAGTAATATGGAAACTGTTGTACCCTCCTGAGCTGTGGATGCTGTGAGCTTCTCAGGACAACCCACTTGGAGGACAGTGAGACAAGCACAGTGCAGATTATTAGATCTGTGATAACCCAGTTCAGGTACAGATTTCCTCCAGAATGAGGCACTAGAAACACTGTTCTTTGGCATCAGGCATTAAGTTCCTCTTCACAAACATTTGAATACATGACAGGGAATAGGAACTATGACATAAAACATGGTAGGAAGACATGGGCCAGTGTGACTATCTCATCTGTGTTTCCACTGGGACCTGGTGACAGTTTAATGTCTTCATCCTTCTCCACCCTCACCAAGTACAGCACTCAAGCCTGAATATCTAGACCTCAGCTCCAGAATATCCACTGAAGAGCTCTGTGGTCCGAGCAACCTCTCAGCCTCTCTGTACCTGCATTGCCAATGTGTTCAACATCAGTTTATGCTTCTTAGTCACAAGACCTTGACCAAGTAGCTTCTCCATACCAATTGTTAGTTCTGTCATCTGTAAAATGGGAACAATAATAACTGCCTATGTGAGAGTCTTAATGTCAAACTCAAGTGAAATAGTGAATACAGACATACTCTAACATGCCAATAGCTTGGATTACCACCATGACCACCAATATTTAATGAGGCTCACCATGAACATGATACTGTTCCAAACTCACCTATTATTAGTGTTTAGTCCTATGAGTAAAGTATAATTATCATTCACATAAAACAGTTAAAAAATGGAGCTGACTTGGCAAGTGTCTTCCAGAAAAAGTAGAACCTGAGGCTTGGACTTGCTTACAGACATTTTATTTAGATAAATGATGACAAAGAATGGAACTGAGCCTAGTAGGCAGAAAGAGGACAACAGAAAGACAAGAGCCTAGGCAAATGGATAAGTCCAGTAGTAGCCAGGCAGAACTTCCTGCATAGCTAGCTGTCACACAAGGATAAGAGAAGGGGATCTTACTCAACAGATCTACACTCCATGGTGCAAGGACTTCTTCATGAAATAATTAATATCCTTGGACGTCAAGCTTATAGGACCAGTCATCAGAATGGCTGGGCATTTCCCAGCATGCTTGTCAGACAGCAGGCAGAGAACAGCCAGCTTAATGAAGAAGCAGTTAAAAGGGGAGTCGAGAGGATGTCAAGATAGTGCGGGAGGTATCAATTACTGACCTGCGTTAAAGCTCCTGCTCACCCACAGAACTATAAGGATGTGCAGCCTAACTTAAATTATGGGACTTAATTACTATCAATGTCTCCAGTGTGTCACTGGGTAAGGTGGTACATACCTGTAATGGCAGCACTCAGATCATGAGGTAGGAGGATGGTAAGTTTGAACCCAGTCTAGATGACATAGCAAAACACTGTTTCAAAAAAAAAGGAAAAGAAAATAAATCAATGTTTTAATATTAATTCATCAAGTATAGTACATGTACCCTCCCTTACACAAAATGTTCATAATAGCAACAAGGAGGTTTGGGAGAAAGAAAGACTACTGATGGTCTCTGCTTAGTTTGTAAACCTAATAGAGAAACAGTCCAAGAAGCAAACACTACAGTTCTCTTCCTCTCTCGCACACTTAACAGATCGTGGCCATGGTTGTTATTTCATAGCATTCGTGGAATCTGATAGGAGATAGTTAGACTTGCATTACCAATTCCTGCCAGTCCCCACTCACCCTGACATCAACCCTTGAGGATATT